TTAAAGGGTTAGTTCACCCAAAAATGAAAATTCTGTCATTAATTAAAACCCGTAAGACCTCCGTTCATCTTCGGAACACAAATTAAGATATTTTTGATGAATTCTGAGAGCTCTCTGACCCTCCCATTGACAGCACTGTAATTACCACGATCAAGGTCCAGAAACGTAGCAAGGAGATCGGTAAAATCGGTATGCTATACTGTGTCAGCTGCGTCACGCTGATACGTTGTTACCGCGTGACACGTTGATACCGCGTGACACAGTTGATGTCTGTGGGAGGGTCAGAGAGCTCTCAAAATTCATCAAAATATCTTAATTTGTGTTCTGAAGATGAATGGAGGTGTTACGGGTTTGGAACGACACGAGGGTGAGTAATTAATGACAGAATTTTCATTTTTGGGTGAACTATCCCTTTAATCACAGTTCATGTGGTGCTGTTTCACTAGTAGTACGTTTTACAGGGGTCAGTCTCACAAAACATCAAAAAAGGCCATATTTCATCCTGATAATAAATTACATTATGCATTAATAAAATGAATCACTACCTGAAATTCCTACTTACAGTAATGCAGAAATATATGAAGAGTTTATTTGCAGAAATAGATAACTCCATTTTTATTTACTTTCAGAAATCATGTTTTTTTTTTATTGTGCATTCCAAGTAATATAAATCAAACTGCAGTTGGGTTGAACCCTAACTTAAACAAATACAGGTAGCTTACAAAATTAAAGTTAATTGAAAGTATGTTTTTTTTATTTATATATTAACAGTTTGTTTTATAGCAAAAGCAGATAACTCCACATTTCATGTTTTAGAGTTAAAAAAAAACACTGGTTTAATCTTTGTAATCTCCTCAGATGTAGATGCCTGACAAACGTTGCTGTTGTTGTGATCATAAACTGTATGGATGTGATTACACGCAATACACGGAGCTTTTCCCTCACCATTGTAACGCGCTGCTTTTGCAAGGCTTTTATTTTATTTTTTCGCCCTGAAGAAGATATCACCGGTTCATCAAGTTCGCCGAAATTATCCATCCTCGATCACTTTTAGTCAGCTTTGACGAAACTCCTCTCAGCTAGCACGTCTTTTCAAAGTGAAAGTAGCCTTGTCACCTGACCTGAATACAGCGCGCTGATTCGCTGAAATGGACTTATCGGCTTCTGTTCAAAAACAACAAGGCGCTTGTCTGACAAAACGTGTTTAGGGTTCAGATCGCGCTATATGTGGAGAATAATGCACGATAATCAGCTCATTTTTTTAAAGTGGCGTTTATCGGTTTTTGCTAATAAACTCTTCATATTTACATTATATTATTTATAGTATATACTTTTTAAACTGTAATGTTAAGTTCAATTGTGGGAATATTTCATGGAAGTGTTTATTGTACTGAATTAATTTATGCGGATTTTGTAAATATATGTATTTATGCAGATATTATTCATGGTATTAATTTAAATTTTGCGTTTGATTTCACTTCACTGTTGAAATTCAATTGTAGGAATATTTCAAGCTAGTATTTACTGTACTTTAATTAATGCAGATATTTTTAAATATATGTATTTTTGCAGATTTTATAGAAATATTTTAATATTTAAATTATAAAGTTAATCTTACTTCACAATTGAAGTTTAACTGTAGGAACATTTCTTGCTTGTCTCGTATATTATAGTGTATTATTTCAATTCTAAAGTTCATTTACTTCATAATTAAAGTTCGGTTGTAATATTTCATAGTAATATATTTATCATACTGAAAATGAAGTAATTCAGATAAATCAATTTATGCAGATTTTATAAATATATATTATGAAGATTGTTATATATTATTTATAGCAAATATTATTTAAATTATAAAGTTATTTTATTTATATAAAGAGAGAGAGAGAGAGAGAGAGAGTTTGATCTTGATTTGCCATGTTTCTTCATGTTAATATTTTATCATATACCTTATACTTGCTGAAATTGATTATGGTTCTTTTAATTATTTTATTACCAAATTACAAACAAGTCAAAATAGTGAAATTAAATTACTATATTTAAACATTTAAGTTGGTTGAAGTTAATTAAATCTTTCACAATTAAAGCATCAATTATTGTATATAACGTATTTGATGTGGGTAGGTTTGTGTAATATATCAATAAATTAAAGGTGAATTGTGCACCACTAGCATCACCAAACTGAATCACAAAAATAGTGATTGAATTCAAACACTCACTTTGTCTTTCATTGCTCCAACTAAAGTTTGGTGCTGACATAAAACACTTGCTTTGTACTTTCCCATAACAACCTGCAGAGAAAGAGAAGTGACATCGAAGTAATATAATTAGATTTCTCCAGCAGTGAGACGTCAGTGTATATATCAGCGCTGCATATGAATTATGATCCGGCCGTCTGTTATTGGGTATGTGTCAGATCGGCCTCTCCTCTCATATAGCTGCATCAGGAGCTGCTGTTATAAATCACGTCCGTTATAAATCACGTCCATCTGAGTTCAGCTTACAGAGTGGACGGCCTGGATGAAGCTTTCAGGCTCATAAATTCTCCTAGAGAGAGACGAGCTCAAGCAAAACGCATGGAAACTAGCTTTCATCACGTGTAGGTCAGAGCAGCAGACAGTAGCTGCGCTTGTTAGATGAAGAGTGCCAACATTTATACAGCCAAGTCAGATCAAGTTCAGCACAAGATATATTGATATAAAAACAGGCCTGTGATATTTATTTCTTAATTTCAATATTGATTTTTTTTTTTTAAGTTTAGGCTTTTTCTTTTACATTCCAGATTCAAGTGCACTTTAATAACAATAGCCTCTCTATAATATTTTGTATAGTCCAGCACAAAATGTAATCCAGTCCAATCATATTTGTGACCCTGGACCACAAAACCAGTCATAAGGGTCAATTTTGTGAAATTGAGATGTATACATCATCTGAAAGCTGAATAAATAAGCTTTCCATTGATGTATGGTTTGTTAGGATAGGACAATATTTGGCTGAGATGAAAATCTGGAATCTGAGGGAGCAAAAAAATCAAAATATTGAGAAAATCGCCTTTAAAGTTGTCCAAATAAAGTCCTAAGCAATGCATATTACTAATCAAAAGCTCCAGGGTCACATTTTATTTTATTCTATTTTGTTTCGTTTTGTTTTATTTTCAAGTTTCTTTTTTTATTTGACATTTTTTAATTGGCTGTTTTTAATTGACATTAAAATGCACTTCAGTAGCAATAACTCTTCAGTAAAATTGTGTATAGTCCAGTCTTTATGTTGTTTTGTGTGTGTGTTCTGTCAGATTCCCAGGTCGAAGCATCCTAACCCTTTCTATTTGGGCTCGCTGAGGAAGAGTCTGACTGACAGAGAGACTGAGGAGATGCACAGCGTTCTCAAGTGAGTTCATCTAGTTGTATGACCAACTTTTATAGTACTTTTATTAGGTTTTTGTCATTTTTACATTTTGTGTTTAATGGAAGAAAAATGGTTGTAACCAGAGCTGGGTAGTAACTAATGACATGAAATCTGGATTACCAGAGGTGGGGGACTCGAGTCACATGGCTTGACTCGAGTCGCAAATTTAAGGACTTGTGACTTGCTTGACTAAATAAAGAAAATGACTTGACTTGACTTGGACTTGAGATCCAGTGACTTGAGACTTGACTTGATTTGACCTTCATGACTCCGCAGGACTTGACTTTATAACAACTCTAATTATTATTATAAATCATTGCGACATAATTTGGTAAACAAAACACAAGCCACTGAACCAGTCTATCATAGCCTTAAATGCATAGCTGTCAATTTAGTTCTTATTATAAAATCAAAGAAATCAATAAGTTACAGGGGAAGATACATGTACATTAACAGCAATAGGCTTCTTGTTTTGAGCCATGACAATAGTTTTCAAGAACAATGTACTGACTTGACTTGACTTGCTTGATTTGTTTGTACTGTGACTTGAGACTTGCTTGAGACTTGAACATGTGTGACTTGCCCCCACCTCTGTGGATTACGTAATCAGATTCAAACAATTAAGTACTTGTAATTAGATTAAATTACATTTTAAAATCCATGTAATCACACTACTGTTGCTTTTTTGATTACATGATTACGGTTTATTCACACAATAGCAAAATATTATTAATAATTTTTTGATTCTCCCCAATTCTCCTTTTTCATATTTTAAATTTTCCTTTCTTTTCCTGTGGATATTCACACAAAGACCAGCATTTGACCACTGGATTTACAAAAATCATTTCAGTATTAAGAAGTGTTTTAACATTGCATCAACTACTGATGAGCACATTACTTTTTATTTAAATTACCACTCAGTGGGTTATTTAACTATGTATTACTTTGTCTTTGTAAGGCTTTTTTCTTTCAAACACATTAAAATGCACAAATTCATGATATTTCTTATTTATATGTAATGCATGGATTCCCAGACTTTTTTGTCAGCCGAACCTCTTTCCCCTAATATATTTACTTGAAGTACCCCTGAGATAAAATAAATATTTTGATAATGAAGTATCACATTTGCATGTTCAGAGTTCTCTGGCGTTGGTTAATGGTCACATGACATGCAGGTAAACAACATTTTTTTAAAAGGTGTTTTATTTTGATTGATGTTCTTTTAAAATGATTTATTTTAATTTTACATTTTTAAGATCCCCTGCAGTTCCTTCACAAACACCAGTTTGGGAAACCTTGACGTAATGTAATGTTTAATGCACTGTTTAATGTTGTTAATTACAACGAGTGGAGTCTATTGTAGTAATTTCAAGCTCAAAAAAGGAAATATTTATGACTAATTATAACTGGTTATGATTAATAATAAATATTTAGATTATATCTTCGAATTAACTGTAGCAGAATCAATATTACAATTATTTGATCTGTCCGTCCACCGAGCAGACAATTTTCTAACTCTTTGTATTTTTATATCAATATGGTACAAGATCAACAGTGTGATAAACAAGTTATGTTAAAAGTAATCTGAAAGTAATCTTATCATGTAGTGTAATGTAATGGATTACGTTACTATCTACAGTTTTTGTCATGCATTTTGGAATCAGTAACGGACTACAGTTTGTGAGTAATCTACCCAGCTCTAGTTGTAACAGGTGTACCGTAAGTCACTTTAAATGACAAAATGTCTACTTCTCAAGAGCAGATTGACCTCACGTCATGTGAATGCTGTTCAGGCGATCACAGTTGTGTGTGTGTGTGTAACGGACTATTGTGAGTAATCTACCCAGCTCTAGTTGTAACAGGTGTACCGTAAGTCACTTTAAATGACAAAATGTCTACTTCTCAAGAGCAGATTGACCTCACGTCATGTGAATGCTGTTCAGGCGATCACAGTTGTGTGTGTGTGTGTGTGTGTGTGAGACAGACTGACGGCGGGCGCTGAGAACACACTCTTCCCTTACGTGCTGATGGAGACGGTGCAGGGCATCTTCATCGCTCCCACACACAGAGAAATGAATCATCTGAGCGGCTCCATCCACCCTCAGCTCATCCAGAACTTCTACCACTGCTGTCTGTCCATACGCCAGGCCTTCCAGCAGAGCCTGCCCTCACGGGTAACACACCTCAAACACTGACACCATCTGCAGCAGATCAGCGTATTAGAAGGATTTCTGAAGGGTCATGTGACACTGAAGACTGGAGTAATGATGCTGAAAATTCAGCTTTGATAACAGAAATAAATTACAGTTTACAATATTTTCACATAGAAAACTGCTATTTTAAATTGTAATAATATTTCACAATTGTACAGTTTTTACTGTATTTTTTATCAAATAATTAGTCTAGGTGAGCATAAGAGACAAAAAATTGAACAGTGGTGCATTTCATTCTATAAATAATTTAAAATGAGTATATTTTTTTTTTTGTCATTTAAATTGTAAAATTTGCATTTAAAATTTATTTTTAAAATTTAACTTCATTTTGAATACTTAATTTAAATTAGAAGTGTCATTTTAACAGAAAACATTTAATAACATTTTTATTTTTAAATTAACATTTAATAACATTTTTATTTTTTAATTAATAAATTGATCATTTTTACAGTATTTACATAATTTTTATCGGTTTAGACTTATTTCATTTAGTTCATTTGTAGTTTTTCATTCAAGTTTTTCATTTTAGGTCAGCTTTATTACAATTACTGAAAATAATTTCTAGTAGTTGTTATCTGTTCCTGTGTATTTCAACCAATCTATTAAACAGTGTCAAAACATTTAATTAATTAATAAGTTCAATCATGACAAGTCTCAGAACATTTTAACATGGTGATGGATATGACAATGTTAATGTATTTGGTCTTGGCGGAACAGATCTGCTACGCTGCTGCTGAATTGCTGCTGCTGTTGGTTATTGCTGTAGTTGTAGATTATTGCTGCTGCTGCAAGCAAGTACAGGAACTTGCTACTGCCAATGCATACGGCGATACGGTGCTGTGAGTATTTAAGACATACTGCTGCTGCACAAATAGCATATAAAATAACTCCGTAGCAGATCTATACAGGTGGAGCTGGGGAAGGTGGACGGTTTCAGAGAAACTCTGAAAGTGCGCTGCAGGAATCTC